AAAGACCTTATTTCTTTATTCTCTGGACTGGCAGCCTCTCTCTCTCTCTTCCTCTTCTCTTTATATGGATTTGGGGCTATCAAACATTAAAGATATTTAAAAGCCAATAGAAGATCTATTTAATATACAATACCTCAAAAACTATTATCTCATCCCATAAAAAATAATTTAGTCAAAATATTATATTTTAAAAGAAAATTCAACTATATGAATATTTTATTATATAAAATGTTGTCTTCACAGTTGAAACAGTTTGCTCTAGGTCCTAAAGGCATAATAGAGATGCTATTGTAAATAGTGTGGTAAATGGATAAATAAATTTGCAAGGTTTATGATCATTTGGTTCACTGTTGTTCTCCTAGAGAAACATGAGATGCTCTGCAACTTTGCTGCTCATGACCATAAAGTATTGAGGGAATGCATGTGCAGCATAGCATTTTTCTTGATAGAACCTTTTCTCACAAATCAAAGTTGTGATATATCTAATTATTGAAAAGTAAAGCACCTAAAAAGTATTTTCACATGAAACCAAAGTCTTCACTAGACTTGAGTATGGATCAGGTGGCCCAACAGACCAGATATGAAACATTACTGGTTGGAGAAATATTTTCAATTGAGACTATAAGTTAAACACGTTTGACTCGACCCAACCCAACCCGGTCAAAGCATTACAAGCCAAGTTTAAGCCTAATATGTTTGACTTGGCTCAACCTCTAAAACTATATATTTTCGTTGGTTTGAAGAATGAACTTGTTAGGAGATCTAGTAGATGCATTAGATCCAGCCTATGCTAAGAAAGTTAAAGGTAGATCTAAAAAGATTTGATTAGAAAATATAAAAATGATTTTTTTTATTATATAAAAATAAGAATTTGACTATGTAGCCAACCCCACGTACATTGTTCTATAAAAATGTTTAACTTAATTTGACCCAATACAAGTCTAATTTGAGATCCACCGAATGCCCACTGATATTAAGGATTTATTGGGGACAGACTTTTGAAGTTTTGATTTCTAGAAAGCTGTTACAATTCTGTTTCGTCGTAAATTTTTTGTTATCTTCAAAACAAAATTGCAGTGAGAAGTTATTTTTAATGATTAGATCTGCGGAACTATAAGAAAATTGTTTTTCAAAATTTTCAAAAGAAATAAAATATAATATCCATAACAACTTTCAAAATTTTATTTTCCTCGTATTATCCTTACAAATATTTTTACAAATGCCTACTGTGCTCATCACATGACACAACATAGCTCGATCATGAAGTGCTATGTGGCACAACTTGATGCACAAAAAACAACATGGTGTGAATTATGTTTACTATTTTGTCTATTAATAAGATTTAATAAACATTGACATAAAATTTGAATAAAGAGACAAATGTGGGGCACCACAAAATAAGTCATCATTGCATGGCTATCATTTCATATATAACTAAGAAGATATCATATCTATATTACAATGACATATACCTAAATGATGTAGACTTTCAAATGTTGGGTACAAATCATGTGGAGGAGAAGCCATTCTTTTTCTAAATTGATGTGGAAGACTGATTCATCAACTATTTACACCTTTGAATTGTATCAAAAGTAGGTTCTGCATCAAAGCTTACATCAGCTCAGAGCCAAAAAAAGTAACTATTGGATAGTACTGGGCTTTCAGTGTCTTCCCACTCAAGAAGTACAAGTGGCTATTAAAGCACTTGCCAAGAGAATATTATTCTCTCAAACTCAATAAAATGTGCTTGCAACTCATCAAATTGGAAACAGAATATGCCAATAAAATATAGCACCAACTTTGGATGGTTTGCATCGCCATTATTGTCACCCATGTGGGGATCTTGTCATGCAGAATTATACCGACAATACCAGTAATTAGAGCATCTTCATTGCTAGAAAAGTTTTATGTGAAATTCATTTAAAATATTGGTAGTTTATGAAAATTGATTGTGTTGTTGCCTCGGACCTCAAGTCATTTTCTTGTGCTCGCTGGGGGGGGGGGGGGGTTTGGGTTCGAGGGCTTTGCGTGTTTTGGGTTCGAGTGCTTTGCAAGCAATTTTTTTTTTTGTTCGTGCAACACCTCAGCATTGTGTACCTGAACGCCCGCCCCCCCCCGGCGCTCGTTGTGTTCTTGAGCACCCCAGAGCTGATCGGCAAAGAGCGAGCACCGCATCACTCTAAATTTGGCGCAGCAGGGCTATGTATGTCACAACTCTACGAGTTTGAGCGCCGCAACATCATAATGATAGAGACTTGAATGTCGCAGTGCTCAAAACTGGCACTACAACTCTTCGAGGCAGACATGAAAATTTTCTTTCTCGTTTTTGTTTTAAGGGTTGTTTCCCTTGGAGTTATTAACTTGACTTTCTCTTGTATTGTGAGTAGTTAGAACAAAAGAATACTGATAATGGTATAAGAGAGAAGAGAAGCAAGGAGATAGTGAGAGAGAAGAGAGATTTGTACTTATTTCTCCCCATTTTCATAATGAATTTCTTAGTGTGGTGTGGCTTCGTGTTTTTTTTTTCTATTTTGAGTTTTTTCCACATTAAATCCTGGTGTATTTTTACTTTCCATTGCTTTTTTACTTATTTGTTTGTTTCATCCCGGTGTTTTACTTCCATCCCCAACAAGTATTATATAAAATGCTTCTCTAATTCACATGTAAATGCTCAGAACTAAATTTTCTACGTAAATTTGACAAATTATGGTAATAAGGATACTTTTGAAGGCTGCTCAAAATTATACCAACGTTGGGTACTTGTTCTTTGGTAATAATACACATCCTTGTTTCTTCCAACATTATAAAAGAAATCATTCAATATTTTGATGTTTTTCTCAACTTAAAGCTAACGTTGTTTGCAATTCACAAAAACTACATACAATAAATGTGGATGATATACTTCACAAATATTAAGTTCAAAATTTATTTATAACATTTGAATCAATAGAAGCATTATGACATGGAATACAACTTCATGTCTTCTTTTAGATGGTGCGAAGTATTGAAATTAGGTGAAATCTAATCCAAATCTTCAAGAGTGAATAAAACAGAAAAATAAAAATCAAAGCACAAACACATTGAGAATAAATTCACCCAAATGATGATTACAATATGATGGTAGAGTTTTATAGTCTTAATTGTAATTCTAATCTCCCAGGTCAATCATCTATTGAATTTGCATAAGATATTTCTCCATAGAATAAAAATTAATCCTACAACTTAACACAAATATAAACCTTTTTTTTTGGAATGGGGTATCCACCCGCTGCCACCCCCAAAAGGGTGCTTGGCGGTGTGAGTCGTGTGACTAATCATCAGCTGACCTAAAAGAGGCACCCACCCCAGAAACATCCTGGCCCACACTTGATTGGCCCCACTTAAGAGGTATTGCCGCCCGAGAGGATTCAAACACTGGTTGGGGATTCCCAACCGTACTCGCCCACAAAAATAAACTTTGATAAGAACTTCAACTATGATAAAAAAAAGCACCATTTTAGAACTAATGCACTGTCAGTGTTCCTGACCACTTCTGCTCGGTCCTTTCCATCTCAGCTCTTTTGAGTTTTTGCTCAGCTTATTGATAGTAACCACATGAAAACTATGATAAATAACTACTGATTACTTAAAAAAAAACAATTTTGAAAAAATTTTGGCCATTGAATTAGAGGTGGACAGATATGGATGGAGTGAGTGGAAAAGTCATAAATGCCTCATTGAATTCTCTCTTAGCTGTGACCAATAGCAGTATTTCCTATGTCCCCATATGGTCCAAATGATTAGTAATGTAAGGAAACAAAGCAAGCAACATAACAGCCTCTCCTTCATTGTTCATTGAAGCTTTAAAGGAGTTTCCTTTCATTTTTTCTCAAATAAGCCATCAAGAACTTGGTAGAACATGCTTCTTGCCTGATTTTGAAGAACAGACTTCAGCTTGCAATAAAGAAAATGCAGTAGAAGGAATACTTTTATTGCAGGAGGGAATATAAGAAGTTTAGATTGATTGCTGATATAATTATTAGTAGATTCTTAACCTTGTATCATAGAGACATGAAAGAGAACAACAAAAAGCCAGTTTCTCTTAGCAAAAAGGATGAGCAGTATTTGAGGATAGATATGAGCAAACATAAATCATGATATGAACATTATCATTGGAATTACAAACAAACACCACATTGTGGGCCATAAACAGCTATATAAAGTATCCCATGCATTTTTTTTTCCTTATCCCCTACCATAGTTTTTTCTAAGTAATACTCAAAATCATCATCATTAGCCTCATCTTGATCATATATAATTGATTTTATGTATTCTAATTTCTATTACTAAATTTTATAAATAGGACAACATTTATTGGTAAGATGATTTATATAGGTTATATTTCCTTATTATATATAGCCATATGCAGATTTACGAGAGTCACCCTTAATTCTACAAATGCATGCACCCACCGTTGCTTAGCTTGGTTGGTGGGCGAGTACAGTTGGAAACCCCCCAACTTGTGCTCGATTCCCCTCGAGCGGCAGCACCTCTTAAGTGAAGCCTAATCAAGTGCGGGCCAGGAGGTTTTTGGGGTGGTTGCCTCTTTTAGATCAGCCAAAGATTAGTCACGCCGCCAAGTGCCCTTTTGGGGATGGCATCGGGTGGATACCCCATTCCCATATATATATATATATATATAATAATAATAATAATAATAATAATAATAATAATAATAGATATTTCACCAACATATAAAATATTTTATCAAAAGATATATTTTATTTTAAATAAGATATTTTACTTGAAAAACATAATGAAGTGAAATTAATTACATTCAGGTTTAATACCTTGGTATTATCTAAACGATCTTATTATTTTTCTATATACAACAGATCAGACATGAAATAAGAAAGGTGGTACTATAGCTATTTAAAAACATCACATCAAATGTCATAAAAGAATGAATGATACCAACTAAAATGTGAACCTATTGGGTGAGTAAAGCATCTTTCTTTCCTTTTTAATTGAGCCAATACCATTCCTCAAAGTCCACAAGAGTTCAAATTCCATTTTCATGTGAAGCTCTTCTCTCACACTATTCCTCTAGTTTAGTTGCAGAGAAGACAGAAATGGAGCAACAACAAGAGAAGACATCAAACAACCAGCGATTAGCATCACAGACTAAGGATTATGAAGAAGAAGAAGTCGAACAAGTCAGCAATGGAAAATCCAGAAAGTGGTTAGAATTAACACTTGGAAGAAACATGTCATCAGCAATGGAGAATTCTTCAGATTCCCAAAACAAACCTTCTCCTCTTAAGGTGTTTTCCTGCAACTTTTGCATGAGAAAATTCTACAGTTCACAAGCTTTAGGAGGCCATCAAAACGCGCACAAAAGAGAAAGAGGAGCAGCTAAAAGAACTCATCAGTCACATAAGATGATATTGAGCCTACCTTTTTCACCTTCCTTAATTCATTCACTGACAGTTCAGCCTCACTCAGTTCAACCTCACTCTGTAGTTAATAAACTAAAGGTTGAAGGAGGTATGGCCATGGCAGCAAGATTCCAAGATGTTCAGATGATTTGGCATCCTATTGCTCTTAAGGAAGGAAGAAATATTTCTTGGCCGGGTAGTTTCCAGTTGAAGTCACAAGATTCTGAGAAGCCATCAGAACTCCATCAGATTGATTTGAATCTGAAACTCTGATATGTTTATTCACTTCCTTCCATTTTTGCATCCCAAGCTCTCTTTTTTTCAGTCTTAATGATCAGTTGATGCTGTCTATCTTATCAAACTAACTTCAGAGCACCATAAATATTGTTCTGTACGGGGAAGAAACACTAGTATTAAAAAAACCAATGAGTTTGAGATTGTCGTGTGTATACAGATTATTCCAGGGAGTTTGATTGATTGATTCACTGGCACACAGCTATGCTGGTTGATTTCTTTATATCTTTCAAAAATAAATCTTTAAATGATATTTTGGTTTATTTTACTCTTTCTTAAAATTGCTAATGTCCATATGATAGGCTGTTTGATGCCCCAACAAATTACAATAAAAGTAGGAACATCAATCGTTCAACGCAAAAAATAATTTAAACGCATTGAATTTCAATAGATATCTTGGGTCTATAGTTCATAGTGATAGTGAAATAGATGGGGATATTATTGGTAGAATAAAGTTGGATGGATGAAGTGGAGGAATGCATCAGGCTTGTTGTGTGATAGAAAAGTATCACTCAAACTTAAAGGAAAATTCTATAAGATGGTGGTTAGACCTGCAATGTTTTATGGCGCAGAATGTAGGTCATTAAAAGAGAAGCATAATATTAAGTTAAGTATTGCAGAGTTGAGGATGCTCAGGCGGATGAGTGGCTTTACTCTTAAAGACAGGATACGAAATGAGCATATACGTGGAAAGGTTGGAGTAGCTTCAGTGGCATATAAGATTAGAGAGAGTCACCTTAGATAGTTTGGTCATATAAAACGGCGACCTTCCGATGACCCGGTTGTAGATGTATTATATTTATCCTTTCTTAAGAAGGGTAGAGGTAGGCCTAAAAAAGACTTGGTTAAAAATATTAGAAATGACCTTTCTTTATTAGATCTAAATGAAAATTTGGTTCTTAACCGAACCCAATGGAGAAAAAGGATTCATGTAGCCGACCACATGTAGTTGTTGTTGTTGTATTGAATTTCAATAGATATGTACACTATTATTTTACAATATTATGTAGATAAAACGGAATAATGAGTTTCCAGTAGCTAAATTTTCCCATGCAATACTTACCATAATATGATTACCTGAAATAATGGTTGTTTGTAAACTAATAGGTATTGTACGTATAGATAAATTAATCTGAAATCAGCCTGCAACATTTCTGGGCTATTTTCAGAGTGGATAATATACTTGAAAAGGTGAATGAGACCATTTTCTACTTATATCAATAGAAAATTTTGCAAACTTGCAAGTCCTTCTTCCCTATCATGGATGCAACAGGTGGAAACTTGCAGGTTCTTCTTCGGTTCTTCCCCATTATGGATGCAACATGGGGACCTTTGAAGCTTCTAATTCATTAAATGGGTTTTTTTAAGCTTCAATCTGTGTTAATGAGTAAGATTTGACACATCTCACCTTGATCTGTTGGGTGTGAGCCAAATCTGATAACCAAGAGGTTTGAGTTCAAAGATTGCGTATGTAATATGTGTGAGTTTGTCTTAATTGACTCAAAAGTCCAAAGAATTGAAACGAGAATGATCCAACTTGAATTTTGGCAAGCAAAACACAACCCACTTATTAAATACAGAAATGTAAGTGAATATGTTTGTAGTTTAGTTGTGACGAGTTAGTGTTTATGATATGAGATAGACATAATGACTTTACTAAATACTTAACTATCACATCATATATGTTATTATTTTTGCATTTAAATTTAAGTTATAAATTATAATTATTTATTTAAATAACTAATATTAATTCATGTATGCTTAATATTTTATTTAGTGGCAAATTATATTAATTTTGGCAATATGGTTTTTTTTTTATTACTTAAATTGAAATTTGTTGCGTGCTAGAATAAACGCGGCGGTAGAGTTTGTAAATTTGCGTCCTAGCGTTGTACGAGTATTCAGCACACAAACAAAAAAGAGAAATGAACACCAAGGTTTTTACGTGGAAAACCCGAAAGAGGGAAAAAACCACGGGGCCTCGCCCAGTTGTAAAGTTCCACTAGTATTTGTTTGAAGTACAAAGGTTGATCCGTCTTACAAATCAAGACGATCAGTTTACAATCAACTTCTCACAAAGATACAAAGTTCTGCAAATTTCCGGCGTTTCCCAAAAATCCGGCAGAGTTCCAGCGTCTTCAGGCGGCGGGAAGAGATCCGGCGGTGGTCGAGGAGGAGCTTCTTCCTTCTCCTCTTTCTTCTCTTCTTCTTCTCTCTCTTCACTTGAGTCCCCTTTGTGAAGAATGAGGGCTCTATTTATAGTTTTTCTGGAGTGGCATGGCTTGTAAATAGGTGTGAGATCAGGGACGAATAGGGAGTGGTTTGAATGGACGACCGATATTGAACCCTTTGATCATGCACCGTTCGTTGGACATTTGGAGGCCTTAATGATGTCGGAATTCGGCGATTTTGGGCTTGTTGGATTAGACTCGTCGAGCCACTCGATTCGAGTATAAGCTCGTTAAAATCGGAGACCGTTTGATAACTCAAATTGCGGTTTGAACCTTCAAATGGCACTTCAAGTCCTTGATTTGGACCCATTTGGACTCGGATTGGGTCGAATTTGGTGTCATTGGGTTCGTATTTCCGAGACGCTCAGTTTGACCATAAGCTTGCTGAAATCGGAGTTCAGGTGCTCCTGAATTTAATTTTTGAAGTTTCAGACTAGCTTTTTGCCTCGAGATTCATGCATGATAAAGATAATTTTGTGATGACGCATCAAAATTAATTAATTAATTTTTGGGCCAAAATGCCTTTTTTTCTTAATAATTATCTCTTGATTTGGTGTTAGGTGATCATCTTCCAATGACTTTGAGTGGCTAACTCCACTAATGTCAAAACAGAAGAGAAAGAGGAAAAGAAAGGTGGGAGTGACAAGAGAGGGCCTACAATCTTATGATCAACAAGGGATTAGATCATTCTTCAACGATCTTTTTTCAAGGAGGTCGAGCCACTTACTCCATCGATGTCTAAGAAGAAGAGGAAAAAATATGCAAGATAGAGGCAGGAGAAAAGGTGCTTCATCTAACATAAATGATTTAAGAAGCAATTTAATATAGGAAATCACTTGAAATATATGATATTAAAAGTAAGATAAGAGGATGGGTGGTTTCTAAAAAAAAAAAAAAGAGAGAATAAAAATTAAGAACAAAGTAGAGCGGCATTTGCATTTTTTTAAATACTCAATTAATGATTATGTCAATAAAAGTACCTACATAAATCATGAGTTAAACAATGAGAATTAAAATGGAGAGTTTTTAAAATACCAAACTTATATGAAGCATAAGAAAAATAGAAGGGACTTGCAAGATATTTATCCTTTTTTTACTTTATAAGTTAAAAAGTTTCACTTTAAAATAAAATATTTCTCCATTTTTTTTAGTGTTAATATAAAAAATATTTTGCTAAAAAAGACATGCTTAGTTATTAGTGTGCATATATCATTAAAATGTTAACAGTTTCAATACTCAAAACTAACAATATTTCCAACACATCAGAGGGTTTTTATAAATAAATAAAATAATTAGAACAAAATATAACTCTAAGTCACATGTTGTTCAAATAATCAAAAGGGAAGACAGTGCGGTTACCTTGAACCCAAATCGGCGATCACGTGAGAGTGTCCTTAAAACCCTAGCTTGGTGCGTCTCCAATGCATGCGATTAGCATTGTACTTAATGGTGTTGTTGGTTCTCATGCAAATCCAATGGGGAATGGGCCTGTTATGCCTCATCTTCTTTGTCAGCTTCTTCTTGATCCGAAAAGTCTTTGATGCAGAGCATTTTAGTTATAGTATTCCTTAGGATACTACAGGAAAATCACTCATTACCGGCGGTTTGTTCCGGCTTTTTTGTAAAAAACCGGCGGCTTTTGGGCGGTTCAAAAACCGCCGGTAAAAATCACATAGGAAATGATTTATAGCGGTCTTTTTGCGGTGATTTTGCACACTAGCGGCTTTCCAGCGGTTCATATCGCCCGTGGTTTTTGGCGGTCATAACGCTGGTGACCGCAAGTTATTTACCGACGACATACCGGATATTTAACCGTCGGTTTGGCCAGATTTTTTTGGCGGTCAAACCGTCGGATTATCGTTGTTCTAATAGCTGCGATCGACGGTAAACCGCCGGTAAATCACTGGCGGTTTACCGGCGGTCATAACCAAAGAAATTACAGGCGGCTCAACCGCCGGCGCATCGCCAGAGAATCGCCGGAAACCGTCGGCAAACCGCTGATAATTACCGGCAGCTATAGTGAACTTCTGGCAACTCTGATTAGCCGTCCGGTATCGATGTTTCCGGCGACCAAACCACTGGTTGGCCGCTGGAAACCTAGAGCATTTGAAAAAAAAATGACAACCTCCCCTCTATTTTACTGATTTTCACCCTAAGCTCTAAACCTGCATAGAAAATACAATAATTATCACAAATATGGGCAACACGCCACTATAATTAATCACAATAATTATCATAAATATATTTATCAAAATAAATAAACTCATAATAAGTTCATAACAAAACAAATAAAATCCTCGCTTTAACACAATAAGTTCATCAAGCCAAATAAGTTCACACATAAATTCATCATAATCTCATCAAATAAATAAGAGTACTGATCCTCCTCCGTGTCCTCGATGTCTGGTGATGCATATGGCTGCTCTTGCTCTTGCTCTTTCTTCTTTTGATTTTCATCTCTATAGGATCACAGCTCTGTCTGCATCTCATTTTGAACCTTTCTCATCTCTTTTATCTCTCTCATCAGAGTTGCAACCCTCTGGCTTACACTTTCTTCAGCTCCACTATGATCATAAAATGCTGATATGGATGAACTGCCCTCATAAGCATAGCATTGAGAACCCAAGCCATATACCCTCCCCCTCTGCCTTCCTCTAACAACATATGACCATATATGATACTCAATATATTGGGTCGATCCTGAAGATGATCCCTCACCAGTGGACTGACGATTTTTTCGAGCTTGTACAAAATCATCCTACGATAATAAATCCATAAAATATATTGATATTAGAATGAGTTTTATTATAATAAATTTATATTCCCAAACTCCAAAAAATTATACTCATATGAGCTTTTTTAGCCTTTTCATCAACCCACTAATGGTTAGCTTGATATTGGTGAGTCCTTATATGTAACTCCAGCGGTATCGCCTCCCGGCCAAAAAACTCTTTCTGAAAATAGAAGATAATATAATAAAATAATATAAATATATTGGTGAGTCCTTATCAGTCGTTGTCTATGTTCTGTATGAGGAACATATCCACCAGTATGAAGAGAGCTTTCTAAATCCCCACAATCAAATGCTCTGTTCTGCTTATTCTGCTCTCTTATTTTTTTTGAACTCAGGGCTAGCCCAAGATTTACTCAGATCTGCCCATACACCCTCTACAATCCATATTGAACACTATCCGGACTTTCTAATGTCCGTGAACATGTCTCTAAGATATAAATCAAGCATCACATCATGGGCTTTAGGAATGCTTGATTTTTATGCTTTGAACATGGGCATTTAAACATTTTATCAAACTTAAATGAAGGCAGTTGAGATGTAACTTGAATGAAAGTCTCAACTCCATGTACAAATTCATCTGTCAATCCTCTTCGACCCGATCACAATTTATTATACATCTAATATATCTCTTATTGGATAGTCATTTGAATGTTGAAGCAAACATCCCCCTACATAGTTATGAAATCAATTATTATAAGATATGCACCCTAAAAGTGTACGTGCTATACTTTCGAACAAGTGTACTTTACTTGAATTGAAATGCATTGTAGGTCTCACAATAAAGCATTGTAGGTCTCATAACCATCTTATAGAAATTCGTAGAGAACTCTCTAACCGAATTCGTTAGCCTTAATGTTATGAATTTCATTTATTTCATAAAAATAGGGATCATCCAACTCTATTTTTTACTTGATATTGAGAGTAATAATAATCTCTCTTAAGCTCAATTATTTATGATTATTATTGGCTTCTTCCTCCTGTCCTTTAGGATAACTTAAAGAGAGACATTCTACCTATTCAAATTCTGACTAACACTTCTTATGTTGTTAAATGGTGTAATAATGAAACTCTTACATTTAACACTTTTATTGAAGACTTCTATGAAGGAGGGAATATGCCCACCTGGCACAAAATTATTTGGCACTGGAATTTTTCCTTGAGATATTCTGCTGACACATGGATTACTTTAGCTTGCGGTCTTAAAACTATAGATTTTTTAGTGAAAAGTGGCATTAATATTAACTTACATTGTGGGTTATTCAATACTTTTTTCTGAATTAGTTTCTCATCTCTTTTTTGCATGTGATACCTATTTTGCGGTTATATCCTCTTTGATTCGTGGATGTGTAGTTTTCTATTGAAGTTTAATCTGCTACAACCTTTTTAACACATTAATGAAGCATCTAATTTTAATGTGGTTAAAAAAAAGAATCTACTTCCTAACTACTTGTTGTACCCTTTACTATCTTTAGAGAGAAATGAATAGTACACGTTTGTTGACCTCATTTTTGTATGAAGTCACTTGGACTACTCTTGGCCCTATCAGATTAATTTCCAAATCAATTCGAATCCTAGGATCTTCTTAGAATCCTGACCTTAGGATCTATCCTAGGATTCTTCTAGAGCTTAGACCTTAGAATCTACCTAGATCTTAGGTCAATCAAGCCAAATCCAAAGTCTTAAGGTTTTGTCCTAAAGGCCTTTTCCATTGAAATTTTGAACACCTTGAAACCTAGTTAAATGACCTCCGATTTAGAGTCCGTCAGTTGCATACTGATGGGACATGTCTCTGGAGACAACCCTCCAAATTTGAGCCCATTCTGAG